AGGGCTGTTTGCCCTCCTGCAGAAACCCACAGGCACCTGGACCCCTGAAAGTGAAAGCTCCTGGCTGGCCCCCCATGCCCTACCACTGGGGAGAAGCCCAGGGGCCTGCCCTGGTCCCTCAGGAGCAGCTTGGCTCCAAGCAGGGGCACCAAGAGGGACAGGAAACATCACAGGGAAGATATTACGTATCTGTGTGGTTTTATGCAGCACAAGGAATGGTTTACTGGAGCCTCAGAACCTGGAATTAAAACAATTGTGAGTCCCTGCCCTCACATGAAACCAACACCAGGGTCCTACCACCCAGCTCAGCCCTGCAGTAGAAGACCAACACCAGCTTTTGCTTTTCCTGACCCAAAAAAGCCCCTGGTTGCCTATTTATCTACCCCTTCCCCTCCTTCTTCTCTCCTCCTCTCTTTCAAAGAAAAAAAGAGCAAGCACTGGTTCTTTTTATTGAAGATTTTTTTAAAAACAAACAAAAAAATCTTTCAGCTTTTTTGTTTGTTTCCTTCCTTCCTCATGGCACAACTGTGTGGAAATTCATGTCAGTAAATTTAGTTATGTTTGCCAAGCTGGAAATTCAAGAAAATGTATTTTTGAGAGAGACCAGAGATAGTTCATTTGTTCAGGAATGTTGGTATTGTTATTATTTGGTTGGTTTTGGCAGGTTTCCCCCCCCAAGTGCCAAGCCTGCACCACTACAGCCCTGCAGCACCCCTGCCCTTCACTGGGGAGGTTTCAGTTCTGGGTTTGTTCCAAGTAAAGGAAATATCTCATGTGGGCTTAGCTCCAGGTTTGGAGTTGGAGCATCCCTGAAGCTGTTCAAGACAAGGCAGGTCAGAGCCTCTCTGCATACCATGAAGGTCTTGACTCAGGGAAGCCCCCTATGTCACCAGTTAATTTAGTCTCTTGCTCCCACTCCTCACACTTCAAAAGTGAATCTTTACATGGTGTTGTCCAGTGGCTTTCCCCTCACTAGCTCTCCTTGGTGTCATCCCAGAAAACAGCACAGTGAAATGCCCCAAGACACCCCTTCTCCCTCACTTCCAAGGGGCTCCTGCTGCTTGGGACTCTCCAATCCTAACTCAGCATTGTCAGCAAACTGTACCCAACTCCTCTTCCCTTCCTTACAGTTACACAAGAAGAAAGGCAACAACAACTGGTAATGAGTTGGCTCCTCTTCACAGCACACAAGCCAGAGGGCTTGGGCCAGCTTTGGTTTCAGATCCTGAAGCTTTTTTTAAGCATTACTGTGAGGACACTGTTCCCTCCCAAGCCTGGCTTGAATAACCCCATTTGCCACAAGACTTGTGAGGCTTAAATGACTTGTCAGCATCTTTAAGCCTTTTCCTTCTTGGGAGACTTGGCTGCATCCTGTCAAGTGAAAGCCCTGAGCAAAGGATCCTGTTGGGATTCCTGCCTCTAGAGGAGTGCAGCCCTCAAAGGGGCTAGGAGCACGTTTTCCACGGCTTTCATGTGGCTGCTTATTCCTCTCCAAGGTCTCTGCTGAATCTCTGCTGTCTGGCATGCTGAAAAGCCAGTGGAAATACTTGTTTTTAGCTCTGGAAGAGGGTAGCGATGCCACAGGAGATGCAACTGCAAATGCTCCTGTTCTGCTTGTCAGCACAAGAGCTGCAGAGCACAGGGCTGCTCCCGAGCAGCCTCAAACTCAGAGGCCTTACTGGGGTCCCCCCAAACACTGTGTCACTCCAGTTAAAGGCTAGGAAAAGGAAAGAAGAGGGATTTTTCAGTCCCAGGCTGAAAACTGTTCAGAGGACAGGCAGAATTTCTCCATCAGGTTCCAGTTACCTCCCAGGAAGAGCCTGATCCTGCAAGTTCCACTCAGCCCTGTTTGCAGATTTGGCACCTGCTTTGCTCCAGTTCCAAGCTCACTTCAAACCTCATCCATTTCTAGAGCTAAGTGCTAACAGCTCCCACCAATACCCATAATCCCCACCTGCCTCCTCTAGGTCCAAGCCTCTGGCCAGTTTCCTGTATGTGCAGCATTTCCCCCTTCCTGAGCCTCTCCAGCCAGTCCCTCTGAAAATTCAGGCTGCCTTTCAGCTGTTCAGCTCAGAGCAGAGCATGGACAAGCACCAAAGTGGCTGGGGTCCCTTTTAACACTCCCACCAGCCAG